ACTTTAAAAAGTGAAACATTTCACACCATGTTCCCTCTAAGTGAGATTGCAAACTCAGTCATGATTATGTTATCTTAGATGGTGTAATTATAAAAAAAAAGAGAAAGCTCTGCTGATTAGAAATAGCATAGCTTTCTCTAAATTAGGAGTGATAGGTTTTGCATAGTCTCAATTACAAATATTATTTTGTTGACACAGCAGGTTAAATGTTGAGGGTATTTATTTCTGCCGTTATGCATTTCTCACAAAACATTTCACCCATAGGTGGTCTCATGGGAGAGACGAGGTTAATATGATTGGACTGTTAATTTGAACTTTGGTGGTTTTTCGTAGATTTTGGATTTTATAATTTTCAGTTTTGATGTCTTCATCGGTTTATGTCTGAGCTGTGTAAAAACATAAAATATATTGTCTCAACATGTCTTAAACAAACTCATGCTACAGGTTTGCAATAATGTCTCAGGTCACTGAGGTCCATCCAATTGGTATTTCAACTTTTGAGGAAACTGAAGGCATTTATGTTTTTTTTTATCTTCACATTTTAAAACAATAGGCAATTTTCCTCTGCTTTTCAATTCAGCATGTTACAGTAAGTACACAAAAGTCTTTAGTCATGCAAGTGCAAAACTAAAGAATAAAATATTTAGAACATTTTTATAATGCAATTTTATGTTTACAGTTATTGTAAGAACATAAAGGATCTGCTGTTGATCAGGTTCTAAAATTTTTAAAATCTAACCTAAATATACAATAACACAAGTGTTGCTAATGAGATGGACTTAAATAATTTTATATGTGTGACCACCTTGAGAAGACAAAGTGTTTTGGCAGTATGGGGGATAAAAGTGTGTTAAAACCCTGCCAAGCTGAAAAGACATAAACAATAACCTTAGAGGCGTGTTTCACAATCCTGGTCCTAAGGGCCCTCTACCCTGCATTTTTTAGGTGTTTTCTTGCTGGTGCACACCTTAAATGAGTGGGTAAATAACAGGCTTCTGCAGTGATTGATGTTATGCTGAGGAGGTAATGCAAGAATTTATATCAGGTGTCTGGAGTAGACACACATCTAAAAGATGAGCAACTGTTGGCCCTGAGGTCCAGGGTTGAGAAACAGTTTCTTAGAACACCAATTGTTTCCACCCATAAATGTAAGGAGGGATATATATTTCCAAACAGTTTGAAGTCTATTATTCCACATTAAGAAGAGTATTCTCAAGTGAAATACATTTAAAACTGATGCCAGACTTCTAGTCAACAGACAATTCGGCCAATGTGCCCCAAAATCAGATCCCAACAGCTATGATTATTACTCCACAGGCCTCAGTTAGCAGGTTAAATGTTAAAGTTCATAGCAGGATACATAAAGATGAGCTCATGTTCTTGATCTCCAGAGCATTTGTTGATGTTTAGATCCTCCCTGAATCTCTGTCTGATCAAACATCTGTATAAGAATTGGAAATGCTCCACAGATAAGTTTTAGGTGCAGAGATGCGACGGCTAATATTAACATTGAATTTAAAAGACACATGCACATCCCCTCATCACATAACACAACAAACCATGATTGGAAAAAAAATTTTAAACTGGAGAAAATGTGCAACAAAAAAAGAGAAAAAAACATTGAAATACAGCAAAGAAAAAAACCAAATAACCCCTCAAACTGTGGGGTTATTTGTGCATTCAAACTGTGCAGTCTTAATACATTGGAGATATAAATAATTTAAAACTCGCTACCAAGATACTTTATCATTTATGTTATAGTCCTATGTCATTGTGGAACTATATCTGTTGACTTTAGGATGTTTTAATAAAGCATACATTGAAGATTGCATTAAGCTAAAAATAATCAGTTGATTCTGTAATAATTGATAACTGGGTAAATGGGGAAAGGTTAAAGGATCTTGATGAATAATGAAAAAAATATGTTTTTTTATTCATTGGATTTAATATTGTTTTTACAATTTAATAGTTAACACTGGTGATTTATGGGTATTAGGTTATGGTATATCTAATTTTTTCAAATGTAAATTTCCCTTTTTTAGGGCTTGATTGTTTATATTATTGGCAATCACTCTCATCTTAAAATAACCAGATAAAAACAGCGAGAAAATATTTTTTCCCCATAAGTTTCAAAATTCAAAAGTGGAAAGTCTAAACATTTTTGTCCCGGCTTTCTGGTATTCTATTAATTGCAATTTCTATGCACAAATTATGTTTCTAGATACTCGAGGAAGTCCTTATCTTTCTCTGCAAGTAGTTTTTTTTTTCATGAACAACAGCTTATTTTCATTAAAACAGTAAGTTTACATTTGTCTGTTGTGCTGGAAACAACCTACACAACTGTGTGATACATCATTTTTAATGTTCAAGTCGGTTTATCTGTGGCTTTATCTGTAACACATATTTTTACGTTATGTATAAAACATTTCTGATAAAACTTAAAAATCATCATTTTTACAAAATATTTTTTGGGCAAATTTGGGCCCATGGGTTTTTTCATTTTTTGCTGGGACTGCTAGGGAAAGGGGCTGACTTGTCCCCTGGCAGTACTAAAACAAAATTTTTTAGCCCTAGTAAGGATAAAATTCAAGCCCTTCATTTATAAAAAAAAAAAGTGTAAAACCCCATTTGGGGTTCCCCCCTTTTAAACGGTTTTTTACAAGTAAACGAATGCCTCAGCTGGAAGAAAGGGGCCCCAAAGATGGTTTGGTGTAACGTTGATGGCTAAAAATCCTCCCCCGAAAAAAAAAATTGCAGTCGCCAAAGGAAAAAATGTGATTTAAAAATTGGGGGAAATTTTTTTAATTTCTTATAAAGGCCCCGCAATTTGGTTACGGGAAGCCCCCCTGGGTCCTTTTAGTTTAAAACTGTATTAAAAAATTTTTTTTAAATTAAAGTTTTCCAGAAATGCTACTAAGTTCTACCACTCCAAAGCTAAATTACTGTAACATGATTACTGCAGATTATCAAAACCAACATTGAGATCTTGAAACTCAAGTAATTTTCAAGTAGGTTTGGGGGCAGGGGGGTTTTCCAATCTCTTCCAGGCCACAGGTTTAAAAAAATCCACACCTTTGCCAGACTGTTTTCTACAAAAAATTGTAAAAAAAATGGTCACTTTCCCAGGAGCCAGTGAATCCCGGGAAAACGGTGGCAGATAATCCTGTGAAATAAGCCCCAGCATATGGGGTTTTTCCTTTTGCTACTAAATTTTCCCCCATGAACTCTTAGTGATACTTTAAAAAAGAAGAAGGCTTTTGGAACGCAGCATCTCAGCCATAAAATGTAGGTCATGTAATTTTCAAAGACCCAAAGTGGGGATGTCCCTAGTTTTAACGGGGGGCCCGCCAGTTTTCGGGGCAAATAGAGGCTACAGACCTCCAAACTTAAAATTTGGGCCATAGGGTTAATTTAAGAAGAGTGACAGGAGATTTCCCAAATGATGGGAATTATATTCCTAAGTGCAATGCAAAGTGTCTGAGGCAGGGGGTAAAAAAACCCCTAAGCCTCTAGCAGCGACCTTTTACTTGGAGTCAGGGAATAAACCCCTCTCTGGCATTCTAAAAAACGTTCTGGGTGGGGTTGTTTTGGCCTGACTGTGCCCCAAGGGGAAAGGTTTTGGGGTGCTTAGGGATTCCTACATTTAGGGGCCCAAATAAACAGGCCCTGCCCATAATAATTTAGCCCAAGAATATTTTTTTCCGGGCCAAAAAACTAAAATTAAATGTATTTGGTTTTGGGTCTCTGAGAAGGAAAAATGAAAACCAAAACCCCAAACCCCTTCCAAGACCACAAAGGAATGGCTAAAACTTAAAAGGTAAATGAAGGGGCCCGGGGCCCAATATCCTATCCTCATCTTACAAATCCCAGAGGAAGAAAGAACGTTTTTTAGTTGCCAAGTGGGAGTAAACAAAACCCCAAAAGGTTCTGTGTAGGGAACGGACCAAAATCCCTCCCCCGATCTTCCCGCAATCCTGTCTCATTTTTGTGCTCAAACCAAAAAAGGGGTTTTTCCCTTTTAATTTATTTTTTGATGGGGCCCTGACCCTTTCAAATCATTTTTTAACTTTTTTGAAAAAATTATTTTTTGGATTTATAGGTCAATATTCTGTGTCTCCGCATTAAAAATTAAAACCCACCCTAAGAATTTTAAAGGGGGGGTGGTGATTTATTTGTGAGAAACTTGGAAACATTTGGGAAAACAAATACTTATTTTTTTCCCAGTTCTTTTAGTTTTTTTTGAAAGGGAAAATATTACCAATAGTGGGGAAAAAAGATGTTTTGGGGAAAAAGAACACTTGCTGCCCAACCCCTCCAAATGTTACCTTTTTTGTTGGAACTTGTGTGTTGTGTGGTTTGGGGGTGGGTTTTTTTATTTTTAGGGAGGTGTCAAATGCAGGAAAAAAGGATAGTGTATGGTTATTCCGCGGGCATTCGTACTGACGCAGCTTTATTCGGGTCTGGAAACATACGCACATGCACCCCCTTTTTAAAGATGCTGACATCCCTGCCTGTTTGGGATTTTTAGGAGAAGTTTTTTGCCCTTTGGGGGATTTGGCTGTGGCTACTGACTCAAGTATACTTGGTTTGTAAGAAAATTCATGAAAAAACCAGGGTGATTTATGCTGTGGCCGGGCCTGGATGACTGTCTGATGGATCAGCATCACTGATTCCCCAAATTCCATCCTACGCAGACCCTTTATTTTGGTCATGGTAAAGTTCTGACTTTGGGTGCATTTGTCCTGATCGAACATGCTAGTGTGGGTTTTAGTACTGTGCTGAATTTAAGGGGTTTACTTATCTCTTCCTTTTAACATTGTAAAAAAAAAAATTTTTAAAATATTTTTATCTTGAAACATTTCATCGGGGCCAAAAAGCAACATTTTCTATTTGGTGAGACATTATTATTCTCTCAAAATTGTTTCTTCAACGATAAAACATTTTACTTTAGTGTTGATGTCTTCCATTTTTCCCCTTTTCCCAAATTATAAAATTATAAAACGGTGGCGCAGTTGGTAGCCTTTTTCCCTTGCAGAAAGAGGCCGGGGTTCGATTCCCCAGCAGGGGTCTTTCTGCAGGGAGTTTGCATTTTTTTCCCCCGTCATCGGGGGTTCTCACCGGGTACCTCCGGCTTCCCCCCCAGTCCAAAGCATCCTTTTGGGTTAAATTTGGGTCACTCTAAATTGCCCTTATTGTTGAATGATTTTGCTTGGTTTTTTGTGTGTTGCCCTGGGGTGGACTGGCGACCTGTCCAGGGGGGAAAACCCCCGCCTTCGCCCATAACCCTGCTGAGATGGGCACCATTTCCCGGTGCCCACTAGGGAATAAGGGGTAAAAAATGACTACTATGACTGATAAAAAAATTTAAAACACTTAAATGTAATGCTACACTTAAATCGTAGGATTGAACTGTTTTTTTAAAAAATTGGAAAAAAATTTTATAGCAGCGAGTATTTAATTTCCCTACGGGTAGCACTGTGCAGTTATAAACTTTTATTTTTAATTAAATGTTTTTAATTTGATGTCAATCTGCAAAAATACCAAATTTTTGGGGCCTCATTGATTTTCAAGTTTAGGAAAGGGTATGCTCACTTGAAAGTTATGCTACATTAAAACCCAAAAATTTGCATGCTCATAATATTTTTCTCTCACGTTCTTGAATTAAAAATTAGCCTAAACATTTCCTGTTTTAAATCCATTATTACCAAAACAATTTCTATTTGCTAAATCCCAGAATAATGAGACATTTTTATTTAGAATTGTATTTTTTACTTTGAATCCAGAGGACAAAAATTGCAGTCGCCAAAGGACAAATGTGACTTCATGGAATTTTTAGGTCTTATGAGGCCAGCAAGTGCTTACTGAAGCTCCTTGGTCTTTTAGTTTATACTGTATAAAATTTTTTTTTTTAATTAAAGTTTTCCAGAAATGCTACTAAGTTCTACCACTCCAAAGCTAAATTACTGTAACATGATTACTGCAGATTATCAAAACCAACATTGAGATCTTGAAACTCAAGTAATTTCAAGTATGTGAGCAGGTGATCCAATCTCTTCCATGGCCACAGGTTTATAAAATCCAGCACCTTGCCAGACTGCTTCTACAAACATTAGTAAAATAATGGTCACTTTCAGGAGCTCAGTGAATCCCAGTACGGTGCAGATAATACCTGTGAAATAAGTCCAGCATATGAGATTTCCTTGCTACTAAATATTCCACAGTGAACTCTTAGTGATACTTTAACAAAGAAGAAGCATTTTGGAACAGCAGCATCTCAGCCATCAAATGATAGGTCATGTAAATTCACAGAGCACAGTGGGTGGATGTGCATAGTGTACAGGGGTCGCCAGCTTTCTGCAAATAGAGGCTACAGACCTCCAAACTTAATTTGGCCATAGGGTTAATTTAAGAAGAGTGACAGGAGAGCTTCAAATGATGGGAATTATATTCCTAAGTGCAATGCAAAGTGTCTGATGCAGTGGTGAAAAGCCCTAAGACTCTAGCAGCAGACACTTTTACTTTGGAGTCATGAATCACGCCTCTCTGGCATTCTAATAAACGAGTCTAGGTGTGGTGCTTGCCTGACTGTGTCCAGTGTAAGGTTTGGTGCTTAGGGATTACTACATTTAGAGGCCAATGAACAGGACATGCACCATAATAATTTAGACAAGAATACTTTTTTCAGCCAGAACACTGAAGATGGAATGTAGTTGGATGGGTCTCTGAGAAGGATAATGACACCAAACACACTTCCAAGACCACAAAGGAATGGCTAAAACATTAAGGTCATGAAGTGGCCGGGCCAATATCCTATCCTCAGTCTTACAAATCCGCAGAGGAAGATGAACGTTTGAGTTGCCAAGTGGGAGTAAACAAACCTACAGGTTCTGTGTAGGGAACGGACCAAAATCCCTCAGAGATCTCTGCAATCCTGTCTCATTGTTGTGCTCACCAACAAAGGGTTTTCCTTCTAATTGATGTTTTGATGGGGCATGACTTGCAAATCATTGTTTAACTTTTCGATGAATTATTTATGGATTATAGGTTAATATTCTGTGTCTCTGCATTAAAATTAAACTACCCTAAGAATTAAAGGCTGGTGATTTATTTGTGAGTAAACTTGGAACATTGGGAATCAAATACTTATTTCATTCCCAGTTCTTTGAGTTTGTTGAAGTAAAATATTACCAATAGTGGCAAAGAGATGTTTTGGAAAATGAACACTTGCTGCCCAACACTCCAAATGATACATTTTAGTTGGAACTTGTGTGTGTGTGTGTTCTGTGGGGGTTTTCTATTTGTAGCAGGTGTCAATGCAGGATAAAGGATAGTGTGATGGATTATTCCAGCAGGGCATTCGTACTGACTGCAGCATTATTCAGGTCTGGAAACATACGCACATGCATGCCCTTTGAAGATGCTGACATCCCTGCCTGTTTGGGATTCTTAGGAGAAGTGTTTGTCCTTGTGGGATTATGGGCTGTGGCATACTGACTCAAGGTATACCTGTGGGTTTGTAAGTAATTCATGAAAAACCAGGGTGACTTTATGCTGTGGCACAGGCCTGGATGACTGTCTGATGGATCAGCATCACATGATTCCCCAGAATTCCATCCTACGCAGATCCTTTATTTTGGTCATGGTAGAAGATGCTGACATTGGTGCATTTGTCCTGAGTACAGAACATGCATAGTGTAGGTTAGTACTGTGCTGAATATTAATGTGGTTTACTTATCATCTTCACTTTTATAACATTGTCAAAAAAAAATACTTTAAATATTTTATCTTGAAACATTTCATCGTGGCCAAAAGCAACATTTTCTATTTGGTGAGACATTATTATTCTCATCTAATTGTTTCTTCAACGGATAAAACATTTTACTTTAGTGTTGATGTCTTCCATTGCATTCCCTTTTCCAATTATAAAATTATAAAACGGTGGCGCAGTTGGTAGCACTGTTGCCTTGCAGCAAGAGGGCCTGGGTTCGATTCCCAGCCAGGGGTCTTTCTGCATGGAGTTTGCATGTTCTCCCCGTGCATGCGTGGGTTCTCACCGGGTACTCCGGCTTCCTCCCACAGTCCAAAGACATGCCTGTTAGGTTAATTGGTCACTCTAAATTGCCCTTAGGTGTGTGAATGAGTGTTTGCTTGGTTGTTTGTGTGTTGCCCTGCGATGGACTGGCGACCTGTCCAGGGTGGACCCCGCCTCTCGCCCATAGACTGCTGGAGATAGGCACCAGCTTCCCGGTGACCCACTATGGAATAAGCGGTAGAAAATGACTGACTAACTGACTGATAAAATAATTAAGACACTTAATGTCAATGCTACACTTCAATCGTCAGGAATTGAACATGTTTTGTTTAAAATGGAACAAAACTTTATAGCAGCGAGTATTTAATATTCCCTACAGGTAGCACTGTGCAGTTATGACTGTTTATCTTAATTAAATGTGTTAATTTGATGTCATATCTGCACAATACCAAAATTATTCGGCCTCAGTTGATTTTCAGCAGTTTTAGGAAATGGTAGTGCTCACTGTGAAAGTTATAGCTACAGTTAAAACCAAACATTTGCATGCTCAGTATATATTTTTCTCTCACGGTCTTGACATTAAAATTAGCCTAAACATTTCCTGTTTTAAATCCATTATTACCAAAACAATTTCTATTTGCTAAATCCCAGAATAATGAGACATTTTTATTTAGAATTGTATTTTTTACTTTTAATCCAGAATTTACACGATTACAACTTTTAAACAACCTGGGCAAGTTCAAAGGATGGTGTCATGGATTTCTGACTTTTGAATTTACAACATTAGATTTAAGGGATGCACACCTGTGGATATATTTTAACCAACACCTGAAACACATTGCTTCTTTATGTGATCATGGAAAAATCTAAGGAAATGATGCGAGATATCAAAGAGAGAGCTGTGAACCTCTAATCATCATTGGGAAAAATCTCCAGATGCCTGAAGGTGTCACGGTCATCTGTTCAAAAAAATACAAGTATAAAACCATGGAAATGTCCAGTTATCATGCTGTTCAGGAAGGAGATGGATTATGTGTCAGGATATTATGTGTCCCAGAGAGTAATTTGTTTTGGGGATAAATGTATGAATCAGACGTTGTAAAATTCTGGCTGGAGCTGGTAAGCAAATGTCATGATCCACAGTATTATCCATTCTGTGCTGACATGGGCTGAAAGCCACACAGAGAGGATGAAAACATCTCTTCAAAACATAAATCTCCAGATAACAGTTAGCAAATGCTCTCAAGGAAAAAGACCATTATTTATTTATTTTTTGTGTAGAAATGTTTTGTGGTCTAATGAAATGAAGATTGACATGTCTGACCGTAATAAGTACTGTTACATTTAGATGAAAAAGGGGTAGAGTTTCAAGGTTGAAAACATCATCCTAACTCTGACGTATGGTGGTGGCAGCATCATGTTGTGCGAGTGCTTTGTGCACTTCACACAATAGATAGCGTCATGAGTATAAAACATTATTTATGTCCCAACTGCACAATGATCCTAAACATATCACCAAATTGGTCACAAAGTGGCTTAATGACATCAAATTTAAAGCTATTCTAACAAACAGAGGAAATTGATGTAAACTTTTGATGCTGATAAAAGGTAAAATAAAAAACTGACAATTCTGGCATTTAATTTCTGTAATCCTAACTGGCCTAAAACAGAAAATGTTTAGCATAATTAATTGTCAGTGTGGGAAAAAAAACTTTATGCAGTGTATGTAAACATCTGGATTCAACTGTATATAGCAGCTATACTATTTAGTATCCAAATTTCATAATGTCTGGAATCCATAAAGCATGAATTTAGAATGTTTGTAGATAAAGTTTAGATACATGCAAATTTGTTCATCTGTGTAAAATACCTTTAACAAGACCTTTAGGTCGACTGTTTGTACGTGAAATAATGCTGATGGGAAGGTAAGCACCTTTAACTCAGTTAGGGGTTGTTTGCATCTGCCTGACAAGACTCATTTAGCAAGCCTTAATTAGCAATGCATTTCAAAGTGTTTAAAAATCTTAAAATATTGAC